AGGAATGGTAGTATACAATCCGATGGCAGCTCATGACACAATTGCGATCGGGAGAAAACCGGCGCAAGAAACGCCCATTGTGCATCGTAGAAGTCTTCAATTTCCTCCTCAGACCAACGAAGTCCTGTCCACTTGCTCTTTTCATCTTCTAGCTGCATTGGAAGATCTTCATCAGTGAAGTCGTAGAGATATAGTAGGTGCATCACCCTGAGTAGCGTATTCCGGGTGCATTTCATGTACACAGCCGTGGCAAATAGCTTGGTCGCCTTGGACGAGATGTACGGCACTAGGTGCACGACGATCGGATCGCGCTGCAATGTCTTGTCCTCCAACTCTAGCCGGATAGAGTCCTCTGTGATAAGACGCGTCAAAGAACCCTCAGGAAGGAATTTACGGGAGTGATGTCCGTCGAATGTACTCTTAGCGAAAGAGTCGAACATTCGTCTTCTGAGGGAGCTTCGAGATGAAGAAAGGTAATCGCTGTCGCTCAAGATCAGCGGCTTGATGTCAGCCCCAGGCTCCAGTGACGCAGTGTGCTATGGAATGTGTGGTTACCTCAGATTCCTCATCACTATCGTTGTAACCTGAATCAGTAGGTCGTAATACATCTGCGCTTGGATGAAGGCACCCAGCTCCGACGGGTATGATACTCCTGGTTTCCTGTGAATCGGCGATATCGGCGACTTTTGATGATGAGGATGGTGATTGCGATGACGCGAACCGTCTGAATTCGTCAACGGTGTAGAGGTACTTCCAAGAGAACGGCCATGTGAATGTGCGACTCTGATTAGACTGTTCTGGAGCAGCCATCGGTTTTGACGACGGCGGGTGTGAGGTTGGTCTGAACTCATCCACAGTATATAGGTATTTCATAGAGAAGGGCCATCGGAACTGGGAAGCCATGACGAATCTCCCAGAAGACGAGGCTTTGCAGCTGCTAATGATGGAGAATACTTGGAGCTTATGAGGTTTATTCGCCCCTCATGCTTGACATCGGGCGCGAGGAAGCCTATTGACTTCTTCAACTGGAGGAACCACGTCTTTGGGTGCGGGGTAAGTGAGTGCAGGTTATCAGGCTCAGCTTTGCGCCTTCATGCAGCTCACTGCATCAGTAAGCGATCAACCTCATCTCTAGGCCAATCATCCAGACAATCCAACCGCCACAATCACCGTATGCACACATCGGTGCATGAAATGCGCGAATATATCAGTCATGTTTCCGATTCTCCGGTGACCTGCTCTCAGAGTGAGAGGATTCTCTCAGACTGCCCTAGCAACACATCATCACTTTCACACCCAGCCCCTGAGGGACCTTTATCGCCCCCTTCATCCAAGCTCACAACGCTAAGATGGTTTGGCAGTCGACTCTCGCTCTTGTTACTGGGAAGATCATCCTGGGGCTTAGGTCGGGTGCGATTGTGATCTCGACCATAGTGGAGTTCTCTCCTGCTTTGCGACAGAGGAAAAAAATCGAAACAGTTACACAATGTATTTCTGGAGCCATGGGCTTCGCCATCGCGGTCCTTGGCTTCGTTAACTTTTTCAAAAATCCTTACACAATGCGACCTTTCGACGATCGCTGCTCGACCGCAGATGCCGATATTGTTGGAGACGGTGTTCGAGCTGCAACTTGGACGCAGTTCGGCATACTGGGGCTCATTGCCATCTTTGGCTTGTTGGGTCCAGCTCACACTGCCATACAAGAAGTCGGAGCAGGACTTCTTGTAACCCACATCGCGCTTGCGATAGCTCTCTTGGTACCCGCCTACGCTCATCAACTCTCTCCGGTGGATTCGATTCTCGGCATGATGATTCTCGACGCGCAGAACAGTGCGCTTTCCATCCAATTGGTCACTAAACAAACCCTCGCCTCAAGATGGCAAACCTACACGGTAATAGCTGGACAGGCAGCCGGCTTAGCCGTAATTGGAATGCTTATCGATAACTTTACGAAAAATGGCCTAGCGACAGACGAGTGCAGCTGCGTGTCGGCCTTTTGGTGGGGATGGATAAGCAATTGCGACGAGGGGCATCACGACGACCACCAGGCTATCTGGACTTACTATGCGCTGAGAGCTATCACCATCGTACACAGCTCTACTATCGCAAGCTTGAAGGCTTTCTCATTCGACAACGCGAAGCGACAGGAAGAGATATACCCATGTGCGGAGTGCGAAACATGCACCAAGGGAAGCACGGATTGTTGCAAATGTGTGGTCTGCGACGAATGCAATGGTTGCCGGAACTGCAATGCCAAATGGTGCGCTCCTTGTGGACAGAACAATTGCGCGTCCTGTAGGGTGAACTCACTGCCAGATGAAGCTGATGAAGGGCCAGATATGGGACAGAATCACGCAATAAATGTACAGGCGTCAAGGCAGTGTTTGCCGTGTGGTACGAACGATTGCAAGTCATGCAAGAATTGGCGACTGCACAGTCGGTGCAAGAAGTGCCCTGGCATCAAAGATTTTCGGGAGGGCTTCGGCTGGTACGGAGGGTTGAAATATTCCCAGATAGCTGCCACCACGAGCATCTCGTACATCGAGGCCGGCTTGTATTCGCTGTTTTCGTTGTCTGCCGCGGAAGGCTTAATGTCGGCATATGACATTCGTCCGAGTTCATTCTTCAAGGCAGTTGGCCAGATGACTAATATTGTCATTGCTGTTGCGACCGCGATACGGGCTCTTTGGGTTTTTGGGTCGCTCTTCTGGAAGGGCGACACAACGGAGACTGGGGCCCAACGGGCGAGACGAGATCTTGTGCAGCAGATTAGTCAGGAGAATGGCGCGTAACAAGCTCGAGGGAAGCTTCTTTGTATAAGTGGATATGGGCACGCAAAAAGAAAGGCTGTGGGAGGGGTGCAGGTGTTGTTGATGGGCATGATAAGATCGGCACATCGGCGGTCCGACGCAAAAATAAGATTTTTTCAAAAACATACAACAGTCAGAGGGAATCACTTTCGCCATACAACAGGGAAACGAGAGTAATGGTTCCTTATGCAAGATCCTAGCCCGCTAGTGTGTTCTACACTTGAGTGTGGGCGGAAATAACGAGCCATCCGCATACACAGCGTCGAAAATAAATGGCGGTGCCCGGTGGATGTCGGCGGGGTTGACGAACGCGCGCCGGGCGTCACCCAACCTCCCGAGCTGGCGCCCACGCTTCCCTCGTCACTTGCACCCCAAACACAATACGATCATGCGCGCCGTTACACATCCGCAATTTTCGGTAATTTTCTTCGACGCGATATGAAATTGTTGCGACTATGAGTTCGATGGGCTATGCAAAGCGACTGCGAGTGGGTCACCAACCTGGCCTTGCGCTCACCATACACCAGACTTCCGAAAAAGACACCACGTCCGATCACGCAGGAATACCCTGCATTCGTCATCGTAACGGCTATAATGCATCGCTTCTTACACAACTTAAAACGATGAACATCACTGGGGTGAGTAGGACAACTCACTGAGCATTGCGTCCACACCCGCAATCCGAACCGCGTTCGTCGCCGTCTATGAAGACGGTCACGTCCGACGTGCCCGGTATTGCATCCAACGATGGCGTGATCTATGCAATGCACGATCAAGATCGATGTATGCGCAGATGACGTTGATGGCTTTCGATAAGCCTATCTGCCTCCATGCTGAGCGCATTCAGTGTGGTGTGAAGATGATTGTCCCACCCGCTTGCTTGGCTCTGGCTGGGCAAGCCCGCGAGCTGAGCTGAGAGTCAAACAGGGCTGACGGCCTGCTCATCGGATTGATATGCAGCGAGCGTCCCATTTCAGCAGCCTACAGTTGTCCATCACGTATACGCATGTATCATCAGTAGCCAACCCTTACTATCGATGCCTTGCTCGAGTCGGGCGATATGACAGCCGTTGTGCCCTTTTCTCTAAGCGAAGAGCTCTACAAAAAGCTACATGCAGGCCCTGGAGACGCCACGCTCAGCCGCGCGCAAACATCGAATACGCAAAAACACAAAGATTGCTTTCCGGGTATTCCACGAATCCCCCTGCCGAATGTGGGAAATCGGGCTCGAGTACAAGATGAGATCAGCACATACCTACAGAATGAGCTCATTACCAGCGAACTCAACAAGTTCTCGCCTTACCTCTGGCTCGTCGCGACACAGGACAGTTCACACATATCGTCTTTGACGCACCAGATCGTACGCGGAAGGAACATTATCATAACCGAGAAACCAGATCTACACCTAACATGGGTGTATGATCGCGTATATCTTAAGCCAATACCAAAGGTACTTCTATCGTACACATCCTGGACGATGTATCTTCTCGACAATGACAGCAGTTCACCTACCTCTTCAGCAAGGACAGAGGTTGTGGAAGCAGCAAAGGGATATCTAAGATCATATTCCTACCTTATTCGTCACCGCTCAGACTTCCAGATCGCACGGGATAAGGGCCTCATACCTCAACACACGCGCTACGCCAAACTCATCAGGTTTCTCCAGAGGTTTGAGACAATACCCGATAAAGACGTCTCGCCACGATATCACTTCGGCGAACTCAGAGTCGGAAGACTAAACTTCTGGTTCAAGGTCATCTTTCGACGCTTCGCATTCCAGAAGATCCATGCTGACTATACGACCTATTTTGCGCGGTTCTACGGGCCGTTCCTGTTTGCGTTTTCCGTGCTGAGCATCGTCTTGAGTGCTATGCAGGTATTATTGCAAGCGAAGACTGCGGGCCCAAGTCGGGCTGGAACGGTTGTCCACGGATTTTCAATCTCCGCGATGATCTTTGTTGCCGCTGTCGTCGCAGCCTTCGTGGCTATGTTTACTTTACTTGTTATGAGGGAGGTCATATTTGCCTGCGCGGACTTGAGGAGAAAGAAGGCTAGGAAAGCTTCACAGTGCTGATGAGAAGTAGCTCCTATTAGAAGTAGCGCTCAGGTTCAGTGGCGACTACCCGTCTTCAAGAGCAAGATCGATGTGATCTGGACTTTGCAATCTCGTCTTTGCCCTTGCACCTATCACTATCGTTCTGTCCCTTCTCTCATGCCTCGGAGCCGATCCACACTTCCCTGCAAGTCTTTCTTCTTACCAGGCACGCCAATAGAGTCCTCATTGTAACCGTCAAGTGCTCGCACATAGGCTTCTTCGGCTAGCGTAATCCATCCCATATCTTCATACACCTTCCCCAAATCTTCCAGGGTCTCCAAGACACATTTGTGCGTGGGCTCGGTCTGACTTTCGAGAGATCCAAGTGCTTGTCGAAGCCATGTAACAGCCTCTTCCAATCGGCCATAGCGATGATACACGACACCCATATCCCGAACCGCGAGCAAGGTCAAAACATGATCCGGCCCTAAATCCTTGTTGAAGTATTCGAGCACGGCTTGGTGTAACGCGTGCGCTTCGTCCAGTTTCCCGATCTGTTGGCCTGCCAAGCCAAGCTGGCGTTTGGTATCGAACGTTCGCATGGAATCAGGTTCAGTCCGCAAATACCCAGCTAAGCATTGCGTGAAGTAATCGTATGCTTCACCAGCTCGGTCTTGAACCATGCACAGCCGTCCAAGATCATACACAATCCTTAGACTGGGTACGGCGTCCGCTCCCTCTACGCGCGTCGTTATCTCGAGCCTCCATCTGAGGGCTGCTTCTGACTTCTCGTACTCCCCAAGTTCTCGATAGCATATGGCCTGGTTATGAATGTTGAGATGCGTTTTCGGGTGCTCCAACCCCAGTGCTTTCTCTAGGCCCGGTATGATGATCTCGTATAGCGCGCTCGCAGATTTATACTTTCCGCGATCGAATTCGTGAAACGCGAGACCGACCATTGCATCGAAGGCCGACAAGAGAAGGGGATCTGCGATCTTTATCGCGCGAATCAGGTGATCGATCACTGGTGTTAAGCGACGTGAGAGGACCCAGAAATTCCTGTGATGAGCCAAAGGCACAGCTCTACCGACCAATGTTATAGCCCTGTCGAGGTTTTCGTGCCATAATTGGGTGCCTTGTCTCCCGTTCGACCATTCATGAACCACTGGGTGTATCGAAAAGCCATCGGACACACCGTTACTGCTCTCGACGAGCGAAAACTCGCGCAGAGCTTTGACAGCCCCGATAAAGATCGCTTCATCGCTTGCGATAGTGCTGAGCCAATCAAGGTGCCCTGACGGCTGCGTCTCGGTCTCGTCCCCCGTCACATCTCGTTGAGAAGTATTCCACAGTTGCAGACTACCTTTCACCACACCAAGTCCATTCGTGTTGTCCATAGCCGATCGGAATAGGCCCCACCACACATCGAAACTGTCTAAAAACGCCCAAAGCATTAGCAGTTTGCCGGCGTATGAATCCCTGTTTTCTACAGCCGCGAAAGACATCTCCCAGCTTGATGATATCGACCCGTGCTCGTACGTGAAGGAGTCTTCCTGCTCTAAGAGAAGACTGGACTTGCGACTGTAGTGCTCGAGGTACTTTGCAGCCGAAATTCCTGCTTCGTTGATATAGGCTCCAGCATGGCATAATGCCAACGGCAAGCCGTGGAGCTTCTTGATGATGTCTCGAAAGCCTTAGTCATGCATGTTAGCGTCATTCAGTCTTCATGTGCAACATTCGCATCTGACCTTCTTCATCCGTTGGTCTTCCTGAAGCCCGACTGAGAAGGTCTAATCCTTCATCTTCATCCATTTCCTTCACATTAACTCCAACTCCTAGACGACACAGTCTTGACAGTCTTGTTGTGATCAATATATGTCCGCGGTTGACAGATGGTATGTATTTCCGGATGTCGTATGATTCGTCACTACCTTCTTGTGACCCCACGACAGTCTTCATTTGAGCATCAACGTTGTCGATGATCAATAGCCATTTGGTGTTGGTCTTCTGCTCACACCATTTCATTACTGCATCGATTGCCTCGTCCAGTCCAACGTTGCCTTTCTTGAGCTTTCCGGACGAGCTTAGGACATGTGGGAGTGGGATGAGCTCGGCTAGCCCGGCCAAGCTAAGTCTTAGTTCAGCTTCTGTCCTGCCATTAGTCCAAAAGATTGCGGTGTATCTTTCTTGACTTTGAATTGCGTAGTGTATCGCCAGCTGTGTCTTTCCTATGCCACCAAGGCCTTGGAGAACGAGTACCTGTCTCCTTGGGACATCTGGTAGCTGCTCAAAGTACTCAGATATCTCTGTCAACTGTTTCGTTCTGCCAATGAATTGACCACACAACGTCGCATCTTTTAGCCGAAAAGGTACAGTGTACTTAAGATCCAGCTCCTGCTGCCTAGTTGTCGTTTTCTCCAGGATTACCCCAAGACCTTCCTGGAGGTATAACTTGAAGGTACCGTAGTTTGGATCATGAGCCGATTCAAAACGCTGAAGCATCTTGTGGTTGGTAGCTAGAGGGACTGAGCGATGTCCATCGATGACGGCTGAGTTCTTCGTAACGACCTGTTCATCCCAGTCAGCTACATCATTCCGTCCATTTGCGAACTAAGAATGAGAGGCCGCCTACCAAGAACAAAGGTATTCTGCCGATACGGATGGGCTTGGTCTCGAAGAAATTGCAAATAAACACTGAACGGAAATGTGTCAAGAACGACTTATGCAGGTCCAGTAACTCGCTGGAGCTTGGGGTGAGGAATTCGAGAAGGACTGAGCGTGATCCTAGCCAGTAGGAGAAATGCGATGACAGAGTTCCGAGGAGGGAGAACGTTGACCCTTTATGCGGTGTACCAAAGAAGAACACCGCTCCTGTGGACGAAGCTACGGAACGGAGGCTCGGATTGTCGTTCCGCTCAGCAGCAAGTGTAAGTGCCTGACGTCTGTTAGAACAGAGTCAACAAGATCATTCTCGAGGCCGACCTTCTTGATCAGAATACCACCAAAGCTGTGCCCGATCAGAATCAGTGGTCTTTCTTGCTCCTGGACTACGTCAGCACATCGCATCGATATCGTCGGCTACACCCACTATTGCATCAACACGAAGGCTGCTGATCGATTGCAATAAGCTGTTTCCATAGTCTCTTAGACTTTGGATTGGGGAGTGCGCATCCCACCTTGTGTCATGATTGACTTGCGCAATCCTGCACTTCGGGAAGTCCTGAGCAAGTACATCACGAAGCCAATGCGTGTCCGTAGCTGCATTGACCCATGTAGTCCGAGGATTGGACCCAAGTCCATGGACTGCGATGATACTACCCTGAAGTCTTAGTCACGTATTCATGGGGTCGCTGGATTGGCAACAAACTCTGCCGTAATTTCAGCGCGACCCAGCCCACAATTGATTGGGTCGAGAATGATGTCGACCTGAGCGGTCACATCTTCTTCCTCCGCAGACTTGATCAGGAGTTGGACCGGCGTCAACAGGATTGACCACAACAATAATGTGGAAGTGAGTGCGAAGAGCCACGCACTCTGCACCAAAGTCGCTCCATGGTAGTTTGTGGCGGTAATGTAGAAAACACTGATTGTAGCTAGCCAGCTGACAGTCAGGTTTCGCCAGTAATGATCGATCGTCCACAGAGAAGCGATGAAGAGTCCAACTACAAGTATGGGTACGATAAAGATAGCATGTGTGAGCGTCGCACTAGCAGCCGTGTTCAAGTCGTTAGCGGTCTGTTCTTGCGGCATAGACATTGTTGTTCATCGAGGAAACCTCCAAGGTGTCCCGCAGGCGGCAGTGTTACTGATGCGGACAGGCAGAGGCTAGCGTCTTAGCAGACAGCGGGGTATGTATACACTCTGTCATCCGTCATCATTCACGCAGCCTCATGTACAGATTGACGCGCATTGGCAAAAAAATGTCAAGGGGGTCTGATAGGTGCGACTACATCGGCACACGGCCAACCCGACCTTGGGCGGCAAAAAGAAGATTTTTCCAAAAACATACAACAGTATAGTATAATAACTTCTAGCTATTTTTTAATTATTTTATAAAGTATACTTACTAGTATTCTTACTACTACTTTAGCTTTTAGTGTAAAATCTTTTAGGTTAGTTAATAAGTTAATTATTCTCTTCTTTATTAGTTTTAAAACTAGCTAACTTACTAGTAATAATAATAAGATAATAATTACTTCTTTTAGAATAGTACTCTAGCTTTAAGCTAACTTTAGTTTTCTAGTATTTAAGATTTAACTACTTTATAAGTTATAAGCTACTCTATTACTATTACTCTTTATAAGTATATTATTACTATCTATATCTATAGTAAATTTTAGAAAGAGAGTTTTTTTTAATTTTTATAGTTATATATAGTAAGTATAAAGTATTTAGAAAATATACTTATAATAAGATTACTATATAGAGTTACTAACTATATATTATTACTCTACTTTATATTAACACTTTACTATAATAAGTTATAAGCTTAAATAGTTAGAAGTTTATTATAATTACTATATTAATTAATTTAACTTTTTATTAAAGTAAATATAGTATAAACTTATAGTTTTTACTTTTTTTAATAAACTTTAATAAGCTAAAAGCTTTTTTACTAATTACTTAAACTAAAAGTTTAGACTTTTATTACTTTATTATTTTAACTTTTAGCTATTTTAGTAATTATTTAAAGTATAAGTAAGTACTTATTAACTTTTATTATTTTAGCTTTTAGCTTATTTACTAATAACTTAATATTTAAGTTTAGTAATTCTAATTTTTACTATATTAATTCTTACTAAGTTTACTTATTACTAAATTCTAAAGTTTTTTATTACTAGCTTTTTCTACTTTAGCTTTTACTTAAATTTTTAATTACTTAATATTAAAGTTTAGTATTATAAGCTATTTTTACTTTAGCTTCTAGCTAGCTAGATTATTATCTTATATTAGATAACCTAATTTATTACTTATATTACTTTAGCTTTTACTTAGTTTACTTCTTACTTAATATTAAAGAATTTAAATTTTAACTTTTACTATTTTAGCTTTTAGCTAGTTTACTTATTACTTAATATTAAAGCTTTTAGTATTTAACTTTTACTACTTTAGCTATTATTTAGTTTACTAAATATATAGTATTTAAGAATTTAATTATTAACTTTTTTTACTTTAGCTTTTTACTAGTTTAGTTATTACTTAATACTAAAGAATTTAAATTTTAACTTTTACTACTTTAGCTTTTTTCTAGTTTACTTATTACTTAAGATTAAAGCTTTTTACTTTTAACTTTTACTACTTTAGCTTTTACTTAGTTTACTAAGTATATAATATTAAAGAATTTTACTTTTTACTTTTTCTACTTTAGCTTTTTACTAGCTTACTTATTACTTAATACTAAAGCTTTTAATTTATTAATTCTACTACTTTAGCTTTTACTAAGTTTACTAATTACTTAATATTAAAGAAATCTATAAATTACTATTACTATTTTAGCTTTTAGCTACTTTACTTAAATTTAGAATTAGAATTTTTCTTTTTTTAACTATATTTATCTTAGCTAATAGCTAGTCTATTTATAAGTAAGATAAAAAGGTCTACTTTTTTAGCTTTTAGTAGTTTAATATTATACTAATTTACGTATTAATTAGATTTAAAGTTTTAACTTTACTAGAAGTTCTAAATTATTTTTTAGTTAAACTATTAATATTTTAAAGTTTAACTTTTTATTTTTAAAGTCTTATTATTTTAGTTATTAGCTACTTTACTAAATTATAGTATATAAAAAATCTTACTTTTAATTTTTACTATAATAGCTTTTTACTATTTTAATAATAGCTTAAATATAAATTTCTAATATTTTTACTTTTTCTATTTTATCTTTTAGCTATTTTACTAGTTAGTTATATTAAAAGTTTTATTATTACTACTTTTTTTATTTTAGCTTTTAGTATATTTAAAAAAAAAAAATTTTTAAAGTTATAACTTTTATATAATTACTAATCTAGCTTTTAGCTAATATAGAAATACTAGCTTTTATATTACTTTAGTATTTTACTTTTACTATACTATAAAAACTATACTTTACTAATTGTCTTAAATAGTTCTTTTTTAAGAAAGATCTTAAGTATCTTAAAGTTTTACTAATTTGTAGATATTTGTATTCTGCTACTTCTAATATCTAGGAATATCTAGAGTGGCAAATAGGTGTGTTGGGAATTCGAAGAATGCGATGCTTGGTGTTTGCGCGAATTGCCAGGTTGGCAATTTGCCGTTCTGGCAATTCGGCAACCACCAAACTAATCCATTCGCCAGTCACGTGGTCTATCACCGCTTAGCGAATAAGCATGTCCTTAAACACGAGCGTATTGCTGCACTTACAAGGCATAGCGGTTTTATTACTTACGTACCTAGGTATTCATGTTGTCGCTGTCTGTGGCGAAAGAGCGCAAACAATTCCAACATCCACACCCACCACCGACAGTTTCGCATCCTGAATTCTGCTTAAAACGGCAAACCAAGTCTTCGAAACAGTTGTTAATCCAACATGTTGTCTCATCGCTGTAGGTCCATCAATATAGCAGCCTTTTCCCTCATCTCTCCATGATTTGCTCCGCAATGATCCTCACCTGGGCACACTATACACCGAGCTCTAGCCTCGCTCTCATCGCATTCAAAGCCATCAGATGCATTACCGCCTCAGGAGACCAGCAGCGTCAAACAACAGTGGGTCCAGACTCATCGGCATGCATACGCCAGACGAACAGCGTCTGTCAGTTCGATATTTAGTCTTGGGCGGCTGACATGACTTCATCCCGACCTGATGACGCTAGCATCCGACACAGCATCTGCATGGCGTTTGTCGCTGCTGCCTAACTACTAATCCACCGGTACAATGCTTGTATATGGCTGAGCGGACGGGAAGCCTAATTCTCATTGTCCTATGGTCGTATGTGGAAGACGGGGAGGTGTAATCGAATATGAATCAGGTGCGCAGGTCGGGAAGAGAACAGCCAAACTAGCCCCACCATCAAGACCTACGCATCCTTGAGCATACTAGCAACACCAGCGCAAGGCTCCAAAACAGTTATTGGGTTAATACAATACACAATCACGCGCTGTAGCTCCCTACAGACAGTAGCCTTCTCCCTCATCGCTCCTCTATGATTTGCTGTGCTTTCGTTCCTACACGACACACTGAACTCTATCTTCACTTCTATCAATGTCTAAGCGATCGGAAAAGCACCATACATCGCATTCCCGGGACACTGGCAGCATCAAACAACGACGCGTCCAGAATTATCGGTATGCTAGGTGAACGCCGGACAAATAGCGTCAGTCAGTTCGACAAATTCTCTGTGGGCGGCTGACAGGACTTCATCCCGACCTAGTGACGCCAGCGCCCGACGCAGCATCTACATGGCCTTCGTCGTTGCTACCCGGTGGTGAGACGCTACGATCCGACACAGCATCTACGTCACGCACCCCATCGCCATCCATTACGGGCGTATACCCAGGGCCCAAACGAATAGGCTGCACCTTAACTTGCTTTTCCTCAACCAAGTCAATCCGCCATCGCATAGTTCCATCAACATCTCGAAACCATCCCATACGCGTCAACATCTTGTCCTCCTTGACTATAGTATCGAAGCCCTTTTCTCTCATAACTTCAAGCAAACGTTCGCTTCCAGCAATAAGAACCAACACGTCGGCAATGCATTCGATGTTGCGCATCATACCGCCGTAGTATTTTCTTTGCACGGATCCGAGGATAACGATGGTGATGATAAGCCAGATTAGAATGCTTGTGGCGATCCAGAACGCGACAAGATTCATTTGGAGAACCTCGACCTGGGTGCTCAATTCCGCTGTTGTTGTTGCATTGGTGTTGCGGACAATGTCTTCGAACTTTGGCGCTATGGAACCATCAGGCATGTACTGGACTGGCATGTCATCCATTGGGGCGTTGATTTTGAGCTTCGTGCCCCTAGGTTGGTAGACATATCCGCCGGATTCGCGAGACAGATTGCTGTTTACAAAGTGCTGAAAGAAGGTCGAGAAGACAGTTGAGGATGTTCTAGCCAAGACTTCCGGATCTAGTAGGGCGGTAGGATTAAATCCCACTTGTGCGTAAGCGGCGTACGACATGAAATCGAGATTGAGACCTGTTGTGTTATCTCGCATATTGAAGGCCCTGCCATCTGAATATTGAGGGTTGGGTCTTGGGGAGTTCTCGTATGTTCTGGGTGGACTCTTAGAGGAAGGCCCATCAATATTTGCGGCATTCAAAAGCCATTGCACGAACAAGGGCCCGTAACTGTAGTGATCTATTAGATGGAACGAAACCAATGTTTATAGTCTAACTCACCTAGTAGTTGTGTTGATATTGTAGTCATAAGACTTGAAACTGCTAGCCCTCCATTCAGAGCTATTGACCTCAAAGTCAGGGTCATGATGGATATTAAAATTGGTGTAACGAGCGTCTTCGTAAGGGTCACGCCATTGGGATGTATCAGACCAAGCGACATCCTCCCGAACAGGAACGTCAAGGATGCGGTAGTGTTGTACGACACCGGTTTTGGGCTCCACTGTAACTTCTGCTTGGCTCGACTCAAAGATAGGCATGCAGTTCAATGCCTGTATAGCGGGCGGCTCTGGAAATACGAACATGTATACATCCGGCTTACGGCGCATACCCGTGAGGAATCGTTCAACCTTTCCAGAGCCTCGGATCCATTTGACTGTAAAGTTTCCAGATGTACGATAATCGCGACTGTCTTCGGGGCCAGAGACTTCCTCCCAATTCTCCGTCCAATAAGCAACTGCGCCTGGATTGTACGTTGCGTTTCCAGTGAGATTGGCGCAGCACGGTGGAATGCTGCCTTGGGTAGAAAGCCACGTCGTGGAATTGCGATCGTCAACGACTCGTGCTATTGTGAAATAGTTGTCTAGTCCAGTAATGTTACGTCCATATCCGTCGTTGTGCGACAGAAGCCACAGGCTCGTGTTTCTGGGCCACTCAACAGCACTGCATTCCAGGCGAGCACGAATCGCAGGTGTTTGGACTCTCAGGCTCTCCACGGAGCGGTCACCCCTATCTGCTGCACTCTTGTTCTCAGCCGAGGCGAAGCCTTCCACATCAGAAGATACAGGCACAAAACTCCAATCATCCTGGCTCCATACTGGTTTTGGGCCCTCTAGCGCAGTATGTATAATAGCGGTGTACATCCAGTCTTTTGACAGGCTCTGCAGATTGTCCCACACCAAGTCGCCAAGGTCGCTTGAGAAACTCTTCTCGTCGATGGTGTAGTTGAACAGCCAGGTAGGTTGATCTCTGTTTACCGATATTTGTTGCACGAATGGAACACTGCGCAGTTCCAATGCTAGGGGCATTTCCGAGGAAGTAGTCAAGACGCCATTACCCGAGTCAAAGAGAGCGGACATGGCGATTGTGACTTGATCACAGCTATTAGTTGTAGTTACAGCTTAGTCTTGGAATGTGCACTTACGAGCTTGGAGGAGAAACGTCGTCATTGTAACAAGCGAGAGCAGCCAATGTCGGTGCTTTAAAGCTTTCAACGATGCGAATAGCCAGAACCATGAAAGATAGGATAATGCGATACCCTGAGAAGGACGCTTGGCATCATGTTGCATGCTAATGTAAGGTTGTACCGTCCTACAAGTGGTGTCAACTGACTCCCACCAGAGCGTGATAACAATAGCAAGCAAAGTTGGAATGACAGATAAGGGCGATACTGTGTTTGAATGACCGAGAAGCTTGATGTTGGCGCGATAGGTGAAGAAAGCCTGGTGAAGTTCTGACCTCCGCGCGTAGACGTAAAGCACTACGATTCCAGCAAGAAGAGCAAGGATGTAAAGAATGAGAAAAGTCAGGTTACGTAGTCGTAGCATGGGTAATACAGGTGCGATGTCATAGGACTGCACTCTTGTTTTTTCTGCCACGTGTCAGAAAATACACCAACAGTTATGCAAGTACGTACTCTCATGATCGTCCTGGATGTTGGCCTCACTTTCTCGAAGCTTGCCATGCTTGGAATAGAAGACCTTTCCAGCAAGTTCTTCTTTCAATGTCTTTCTTGTGGCGAGGTCGAGTTTTGTGAAACCGCGCAACACTATCGCATCACCGCTGCCCCATATACTTGTGCCCAGCAGTGTACTTGGATCTTGGCTAATGTTAAGAGTTGTCTTAGCCGCTCGCGTCCCCCACAGGATGCCTAGAAAGAATACAAAGCAAATGAGTAACAGAGCACATATAATGCAGGCGGCTTGCCCGCTGACTAGCACTGTCCGGACAGATCCAAGTCGATGACCAGCCGTAGAACGTTCCTCTAAAACTTCCGTGCGTTGCAGAGAACCACCAACAATTTCTGCGAAGAAGCGACGTCTGAATTGAGCAGCGACTACAGGCAGTTGAGAATCAGCCATCATGCGTGGGATACTGAAGTTGTATGGTTCACCCAAGATCGCAGCTGGGCCCGTAAAGGGAACATCATATAAGTCAATCTCGATGTCAGACGTCTTGGTCTCGTGGGGGACGAAATCGCTCCATTTAATGTCCGTATAAGCCTTGCGTAGTTCGAGTAAGTCAAAGACGGTCGGGGGAACTGGCGTGCGAATTTGGTGGAAAAGATTCTCGTCGAACTCGACGGACAATGTCCCTGATGAGGCTGTGGCACGAGCTGGGATGGTGGCCATGTTATGGCTTGAATGACATGCATATGCAAGCATCGTCATGTTTTGTAGGAATTTGTCGGTCGGCGTGATATCCTGCCTGGGCCACCACGGCGAACTCATTATGATAATCTCATCCTCGTGGCAGTGTTCATTCCATTGAACGATAGCATCTGACATGGAGTAGTCGTCCGATGTGACATTGTTGATGTCGCTCCAGGAAATCCAATCCGTAGTAAGGGCGGTATCCGACACATTGACAGTGAGGTTGAACTGGCAACCATTATTGGACTCTAAGAGAACAGATGCTTGATAGAACTTCTCTCCGTCTTCCTGCCATTCTTCGGGCGCATGTCGGAGATACATGTCCTTCTTCTTCATATCCAGTTTGGCGCAAACTAAATCGGCGTGGAAAACAGTCGTGTTTGCCTCCCAAGTTCCTGAATCTTGAACCTTATGGTCCCAACGTGAGCCAGTATCAACTGAATCTTGTGGCCAGAACGGTAAGATGACAAAGTCGTCAGTAATCCAGGGGGAGGAGCTATAATTTTGGAATATCGCGCCCATAGTTCGCAGATACGTATCTCGCTCAGCTCGAGGTTGTAGCATCAATCCGTTGCGCATTTCTAGTCGTGCAAGTGTCTCCGGACTTGTTCGGTGTATCTCTTTTGTTCTCAGTAGTGCAGCAGACATCGGTGAGATTCCAAGTATGGCCAGAATATAGGTGCTGCATGAGAGGATTGTAACCCAATTCCACGATCCGCCATTTCTTCGCCTTTGAAATCCTCGAGCAAGAGTTGTCCACCATGGCTTAGCCTTTTCGAGTAAAGTATAACGGGCAACTGGGATACGTCCGTCTGTTTTGCCCATTCTTGCAAAAGGTCCTGTCCGTTTTACAGCACCGAGTATGATTCCGGTCAATTGTGTATAGACGACAGCGATCAGCGTGGGTATGAACTTCCAGCCCGGCAATGCTGAGTCCTCAGCACACAGCCCGTTGTTGTTATGTGAGTACCGATACAATGCGTACGTGATGGCTGCGCAGGTGATAGAAAACCCGGCAGCGGTGGTGATAAAGTACCATCGTAGCGCAAAAGGCATCCATTCTGGTCCTGCGTGTGTGTTAGGACGAGCAGTGCGAATAAAGCCATATGGATACTTTCGTTCGCCGCCAGGCTCCACGGAGCTTACACTAGAAACATTGGAGATCGATGCGCGATGAGATCTGTGAGTATTCGTTCTGGAATGCGCTGTCGAGGTTAATGGTAGCAATTGCTGACTTTCCATCTCGTGATGGCGGTTTCCTCCGGCTTGAAGCTCGACTTCATGATGGGGGCCTTCTCTGGCATTCTCCATAGCAGCTCAAGGATGCAAGCGCTTGAGAAGCTTGTGACGGTTCGTAGTCTGGTCGAACTATTGAACCGAATCGTAAGGAAAGTAAGGCTGAGGAGTAGGGATTGATGCATCCTGACAAATCTCTGGGAGGGTTTTTCTCGTTGGTCTCATGCCGTCTGCAAGTAAGATGTGACGTTTCAGGCGGCCCGTGTTCGGAGCGCAGCCAGATGTAGTGATACAACAGGACTTGGCAAGCTCGGCTTTGAAAGCGGACCAATAGACTGAGCACCAACATTACTCCTGTATGCAATCGCTTGCGTCGATCTGCCACTTTAGAGAACATTCGCCGGGCTCGCGCATGGTGCTTACAAGAATAGACGTTCAACCGCCCCCACGATTAGGCGCCCACCCTCTTAGCCCCACTCCATACAAGGAAAGCTCTAAACAGGTCCGCGGAGCAAAGCAACATGAAAACATACAAAATGGGCGACCTAATAACAAAGGAGCAATGCACAAGTGCGAAGTTTCATTCTATCCCTCTAAGCATTAGGAGCACCACATAACTATTTGTTAGCAAACCAACGATCTCACAACACAAAAAGCTAGTCTTAAAAGAGCGAGGTCCGTTGCGAGTTCCCAAAACAACATATCTCCACAAGGTTTTTTAACACAAGATCCGCCCTTAGAGGTGCAGCGAAGCTATTGCTTACATTAGGTACGTGATAGGCAACCTAACGTCGATGAGACTGTAGGGTGTTCGGTTCTTTCAAAATTAAAGCGGTCCCTCACTTCTACCACAACGTGCCTGCCTAGCTACCTAGGTAGGTATCTCCGGCCCCGAACCTACCAACTTGCGGCCGAACCTGGCACTGACTTGCAGTCGTAACAAGATTCTATCTCGCAGGAATCAAAGCCGCTGCCAAACTTCAAACAATCCAACAATGACGTAGCTAGGCAGTGGCAAGAGTGAGTTGAGCTGCACGCCGAGCAGTAATTGACCTTGGAAGTACCGTCAGCGAGTACGGGGAAGCGCAATAGGTCTGATCCAGGACTTTGTGATGTTGCGAATTATGCCCACGTCTATGTGGAAGAATTGTTGATTTAGCAATAAAAAAATCCGATACACCAGATCATCCAAAACCCCAACCCCCACCCCCTCCCCCTAAGCATCCCTAAGCATACTAGCAACCCCCGCCCAAGTCTCCAACACAGTCGGCCTAATCTGATTCGCCGGCAGCGTAAACCCATACGTGCCCTTATCCCTCAACTCGTACGTGTAAGAATACGTCGCATTACCCGTGACATCAGTGTAATCAGTCGAAGAACCAGTGGTGGCATAAAGCGTCGCGCAGCTGGGGCCAATGGTGTAAGCGGTACCGGAGACGGCGCGGATAGCGGACTGGGCGCGGGTGGCAATGGAGCGGTGCTGGGCGTCGTTTTCGGCGCGGAGGGTGCAGTCGTAGCCGTAGGGCCAGAGGATGTATTGGCCGTAGGAGCTGGAGGCTGGTTAGTTGTTTGCAACGTGAGGGGGGGTGGGAGATTGGAGACGTACTGCACGTCGAGGTAGAGGCGGATACCGCGCGATGCTTTGAGCGAGTCGACTTGTGCCTTCAGGCCTCGGAGCTCGGGGGCGTCGCCAGCGGCTACGCCTTTGTAGGTCTCTGAGCAGGGGTTTGTGGAAGCTCCGCCTGTGACTTCCCACTTGTAGGGCCAGTTACCTTGGAGAAGGGTTAGTTATCGATGAGTCAATGAAAGTAGAAGAGACTTACGATTGATGTCACGGCCGACACAGCTGTTACCGCTGACAGTCTGCCTGTTCTTACGCCAGAGACGGTCGGTTGTCTGGGAGTACACGAAGCCATCTGGGTTGGCGATGGGTGTGATGTAGAAGTCGAACTTGTCGACAAGGGACTTGATGTTTGCGTCCGAGCCGTACTTGGTGAGTAGTTGCCACGCGAAGTACCTGTTTGGTGTTAACAGATGAATTCGGGGTTTTATAAAAGCTGACATACTCGGTGGTCATGGAGGTGATCCACTCTCGTGCGTGAACGTTGCCGTGAATAATGACGGCAGGCTTGGAGCCCTTGCCGCCGTTACCCCAAATATGGATACCAGTCAAGGCTCGACCCTGGACAGAGGTACCGAGAGTGACAATCTCGGACTGGCCAGTGTAACCAGCCTGGAGATCTCGGAGGAACTGGATGTGGTCGGCGTATGGGTGGTATGCAGTGAACCAGCTTTCGCTAGGAACTGAACATGATTAGTAAATGTCATCGCACAAACGAGACTCTCTACAAACCAGCATAAACGCTCATCTCACCCTCCTCGGCAAGCGCTGCACCGACATCCTCGTTCAGCACCTTGCTCTCAGCCACCAAGGCAGTCAAGGCATCGACGTTCTCGGGTGAAACGACGACATCCAACTCGGCAGATGTGCCAGGGTTGAGGACGTGTGCAGCCAAGCTCTCGATCTCTGCCTTGACAGCATCGGTGCTGGCTACACGTAGTACCTTGAAGCCATTGTAGTCGACCTTCTTGCCAGCCCTTGGGACAACAGTGGCAAGCGCCGTGGAGGAAAGAAGGAGCGCCGAGGTAAGAATGGTGGTCTTCATGATAGGCAATGAATGCAACGACAGTTGTGCAGTGCAGTGCAGAACGATGCTGAGGAGAGAGCCTGCTTTTAAGTCGTGTAACGCTCACACAAGCCCATAAACCACCTTCCCATCCAGTCTGTAGCACCGCGGACACAGTCCTACCTGTTACCCCAAGTCTCGCATCGATTAGGCAGGTACTCACCCCGTACTCCTGGCTGATCTCCTGCAAGCACGGGAGATGTACACTCGAAGGAGCTCAACGTAGATGATGCAAGCGCGGGAGGCTAGTAGTCCAAGGAATTCGGAACTCCACATCAAGATCTGGACGGTGGTTTAATATACAGCATCACTTGGCACGTTCTGCGGACGACGTGGGTAGGAGAGTGTGATTGGCGCGGAGGCGTTGAGCTTGTCGCATTAGGCAGGTGCGGGTTTCGGAGACTACGCTGGCTTGTCTTGGCTACGAGATAGGCCAAATACAAAGTCTAGGCAATGCCAGGTACGTGATCTCGTGGTGCTCGTTAGCATGGCGACATACTGCAGGGTGGTGAGTACCTTGGCGAAGCGAGTGCCTGGATGGGAAGGAGGATGGAGATTGACCAGCCTAGATGCGCCTCAATAACAACTTGCTCGTTTGCGTGTAATGCGAACAGCATCACCGCGTTTCCTCAACAACTTGGAACACCCAGCTCTCTCAACACATTCGCGTAGCCGAGCCTCAACCACTCATCCACATGCTTCTGTCCCGATATCCATACGCTCCCTAGCATGCCTCCAGCATTCGCGCTCGCTCCCTCTGTGGTTCCTCTACGACGTGGAACAACCACGAGTCGATCAGCCCACATGATGACGTTATGGGGAGGTGTTTCCTTCTCACACGTGCCCATGAGCGAGCGACACCGCGCAATGAACGTCTTATACACATCAAGAACAGTCGAAGCGGACGTATTCGTGAAGCCATGACTGAATTCATGAACAAAGAACTGGAAAGGTACCTTCTTCGATGCATCCGTGAGCGAAGCCATGATGTGGTCGAAAGCATGTGGCGGCCCTCTCAAGCCCTGGAGGTGCTTGTGTATCCTACTGCATCCACCCTTCTCCCCACAGTTGAAGATGACGTAGAAGTTTGGAAGCTTCCGTAACACTTGCAACATAACCTCAAAGTCATCTAGGTCAAGAGCTTCGTGCTGACGCTTGTACGAGTCTAGAGTCAACATGAGCAGTTGCGGCCTGTCGACGCAGAATAGGTTGAGTGCTAGGTCGTGCGTGCCGTTGAGCTGTGTGATGTTGAGTCGCTCGTCTGGACAGAACAAGTCGCTGCCAGGACCATATTTTCGTGATTTGTCAAAGGCATGGTTCGTGGCGCCTACGGTGTGAGGTTTGGTTGCTAGTGCTGGGCAGACCCGGAACTCTATCTGGCGTATGTGTGAGTAAGGACTGGTGTGACTGTTGCCGTTGCTGGACTAGCTTACCGGGTAGCCTTCGTGCTCGAATTTGATAGACTCATTGGGACCGTAGACAATGACACCTTCAGAGACGAGTTTGTCGAATGATTCGGTCAGCGCTACTTCAGTGACGTCGTCCATGTCGAGCTGCTGACTGTTCGGTGGGTTGTTGCCCAGGTGGTGAGTCGAGGGCTTGGAGTAACGAGACACAAGGCCTGTGCTCGAAGCTACGGAGTTAGTGCCGTATAGCCGGACTGAGCAGAACACCACAAAGGAAACGGAAAGAGAAGATGAAGTTTATGTAGCATTTGCAGCTAACCCATCCAAAGAAAGACATGCAGCACAAAGAGATGTCGCCAACCAGAAGTGAAAATGCCATCGTCGATTATAAAGTATATGCCCCTTTCCAAGATGCAGTCTCCCAACCGCAGAGATCAAGCAGTGTACATGGATGTGGGCGCAATGCCGGGGTATCGTGGTATCGTATGAAGAGGTAGAACTATGAGGTCTCAGGCTTGGCGGACAGTGGCCTCTCTACCAGGACATAGTCAGCACTGGTAGTCGATGTAGGAGTCGGTGTCTCTGGTAGCGCACCTGGCATGTTTTGGGACTTTGCGGCAAGGGGGCTGGCGGCCCCTTGTGACCGAGCGGCGTCTTGTTCGCGCTGGGTGTCGTTCTTAGCTGGGGGCGAGTTGCTCTTTGCCTGGTTGAGGCGCTCTTCGGCGGCCTTGAGCCTGGCCTCGAGGGCCTCGAGCTCCTTGGTCTGGGTCGTGACTGCCTGCTTCCTGCGCGCCTGTCAGCGGGCTCCAAGTAGCGGTGAAGAGGGCGGGCCGTACTTCTCCAGGACCGTCTTGTCCAGGGTCGCGAGGCCTTCGTCCAAGTTGAACAGGCTGTCGAGCTCCGACATGAAGTTGCGGGCTAGGGTGCTGCGCGCGTGGTCAGTCTCAGACAGGCGGGAGCTATGCTAGCGCCGGGAGGGCTCACGATTGAGGGCGGTTGTTTGGCTTCCAGCCTTGGTCTGGGTCGTCCATGGTGGCCGAGTGTGCAGGGTACGAGGAGGTCATGGTGATGGGATGGGAAGCAGGAGCGGGTTATGCAAGAAGCAGGCGGCGTGGGGAGGCTCGGGGACGGTGGATATATTTATGGGCTGTACAAGAGTAGACAAATATGGGCAAGTGGCTCAGCGGATCAGAGATGTTTCATGCAACTCAGCCAGACCTGGGGTGGAGGGGAGGGAGCATAATATGGCGACCCTGGAATAGAGAGGGAAGGACGATTGCAATGTTAGGAAAAGGGGACGCCTATGCCCCAAGCTAATTTGGGCGTAGATCGGAGGTGGAGCTTGGAGGAGCGAGGGATCAATGATAGTTTGAGCGCCGCTCCCGAGTGCCCGACGAAGAATGGCCGACGATACGGGCACAACGACAACAACAGGACGTTGTAGGTGCAGGTGCAGCAGGATGTAGAGGCATATAGGGCTATAAAGCTGTGCTATCCCAAAGTATCGCAGTACATCAGGGCCCGCTGTCAGGTCTGGTTCTGGCCCCGCGCCCGCGTGAGGCGACGTGAGGCCGGACGCGCCTGATTGGCTCTGGCCGGGGGCGCCCGATGGGGGCTTCAGGCGGCTGGGCTGCGAAACCCCGACGACAATTTGCGACATTGCGACAATCTCCCTCGACACCACCAAGCCCCCGTCCATCTCGCTCAATTTCCCCGCCCGCCGCGCCCATCACGACTCTCGCATGCGATGCCCGTCTGCCCGCCGTAGCAGCCTCTCCGCCCACCGCGCCCGCGCCCGCAGCCGTGGCTCCCCTTCCGCCCCAGGCCCATCGCCCTCGCGCTGCACACGCCTGGGGGATGAATACTAGCGGCTCCGCCTACACCAACCTCGAGTCGCTGCTGCTGTTCCAGTGCCTGCATGCCTACGGCGTCGCCCCGTCTGTCTTCGGGCGCATCTCCGACCTGCTGAAGAAGCACCCCGACGTGGCCGCCCACAAGTACTTCCAGCCCGGCCGCCTCAGCCCCGATGCGCTGCGCAACTTCTACCTGGAGCGTCTGAAGCGGGAGCTCGAGCACGAGCAGGGCGGCGACAGCGATGGCCCCAACGGGGAAGTCACGAACCCGGCCAAGAGAAAGAGGCATAGCCCAAGTCTGCCGACGGTGCAGGAGTCGCTGCAGCACCAGCACCTGATCCCGAAGCTTGTGACGAAACTCTACGCGTCTTATCGATATGAGATCACGGAACAGATCCGGATAGAGGAGGAGCGATACGAGCGGCTGCAGCGCGACCTCCAGGGCATCGAGCGCGGAGAGTGGGACGATCAGCTGCGCGAGAAGGCAAGCGGCCGGACACCGTCATCGCGCAGTCCTACGCTGCCCAGGAAGTCGCCGCATCTCGCCCCGAAGACGTTGCAGCCGAATGCCAGCTCCACCCCCGTCCAGAACGGCACACGTGGAGCGCCCGTCATCGCGCCTTCCCCAGATCCATCTCAACAACAACAACCGGCATCCGCGCTACCACACCAAAACGGACACCCTTCGCCAACCCAGCGCAAAAAGCAACACCCCTCTTCGGACGGGCGACGGACGCCTTCCACGCCGCAGCCAAACCCAAGTCAGCCGCATGCGCCGTCACGATTCCAGCAACCGCCGCAACCTCACGCCAACTACAACTACCCCCAGAACATACAGCCCCAGCCAGGCTCGCACCAGAATGCCGGCCATCCCCCGCAACCGCCGTCACCAGCGCTGGGGTCTCCCGGGCCTCAGTTCCAGCCCCAGCCAGGCCAGAACTACGCGATGAATGGCGCGCCTCAGTACGGGCCGCCGGGCTCCCAACCGCCATACCCTCCACACCAACAGTTTCCCATGCAGCAACCTTCGGGGCCTCATTCACCCGGAGTTCACCATGGACAACAACAGAGGGCGCATTATCCCCCTCCTGGTCACCAGCCCTACCACCCACTGCAACCGCAAATGGCCCAGCCACCGCCCCAGGCAGGCTTCATGCTTCCACCGTTCCAAGTTGCGCCTCAAGACCCCTCGCGCGTCCACCATCAAGCCGCCGTGCCGCCGCACCACCCCCAGGTCTCCACGCCTGCGAGCAATCGGCAGCAGCCCAGAGCAAACATACAGACTCCCGGAACCGGCACCGGCAGATCAGGCGCGCCACAGATGCATCCCCTCGTCATCCAGGCGAGACAGTCTTTCTCCACGCCGATGAATGCGCGCTCTCCGCACAGCGCTCTAGCGACTCCGGTCTCAGCCAAGAGTCTTTGGAAACGATCAAGCTTTACCGGGACACCTGGCAGTTCTGCGAGCCCGCGCCCAGAAGTGCTTCCTCTCGATGACGTACCGCCGCTGATCCGGCCAAAACAGACACCACCAAAGGCGAAGGCGCAGCGCAAATCACGGACAAAGGGCAAAGGCAGAGAAGCAGAGCAAGAGTCCACCATAGACGTCGAGACACCACAAAACTCTCAGCACCACGACCAAGAAGACGACTCTTTACTAGAGCCTGAGACTCGGTCCGGACGTTCACGGAGAAAAGCTCCTGCGAAACGAACAAGACCCGGCAGCATAGCCTCCTCCCGAGCAGGTGGCTCTGTGCGGGATCGAAGTCGAAGCCGGTCCATCCTCTCGCATACCGACACAGTAGCAGGTGACAACGAGTCGCAAGCTGGTCGTCGCATCAAGTCAGAGCGCGGAAACTCGGTGGACCCCACTGAAGAGGAAGGTTCTGTTGGAACACCATCACACATGTCCACACGACGTCGTGGAGCGGCTCCGGCCTCATCACTCTCATCACGTCGAAAACGGAATGCCCGTGAGGCCTCTCTCGAAGAGAATGACGATGCGTCCTTCAGCACCCCAGGCCCACCCAAGACCCTAGTCGCGCCACGGAACTTCGCCCGGATGACGGCACCCATGATGTACGATATCAACTCGCACAAACATGCCTCGACATTCAACACGGCCGTTCGCGCGAAGGATGCAGAAGGATATTACGACATCATCAAGCGCCCTACAGATCTTTCTTCCATCAAGAAGGCTATAGCAACAGGCTCAAAGCAAGTTGCCGCAGCCGCAGCCGCGTCGGATAATCCCACAGGTAGCCCCGGCGGTGTCATGGGAGGCGTCGTAGAGTTGCCTGTGACGGCCGACAATGTCCCGCCAAAGGCCATAGTTAACGCTGCGCAACTGGAGAAGGAGCTCATGCGCATGTTTGTCAACGCTGTCATGTTCAATCCTGGAGAGGACGGCGTGGTGAACGATGCGAGAGACATGTTCCAGACAGTTCAAGGCCTAGTCAGTACTTGGAGGGACGTCGAGAGGGACAGCGGGCGTGCGGGAAATGAGGGTACACCATCGGTTGAAGAAGAGGACCTACCCACCGCGAGCAAACGAAGGAAGATATAGTATAATCCTCGGACGGCTAGGCATGATTGATCACAGCATGGGAAGGAGTTGGCGGTGATTTGGAGTATCCATCGATACCATGTCACGACACTGCTGCGGCAGGCTACCACTTTTAGAATTGAACATTACCCATCTTGACCGTCTTCATCATCCACACAGCAGTTAGTAACACCGCCTACCTCTACACTTCTATCTTGTTGGTAGATTGCCGTCCCTGGTGATATCGAAGTGACTGCTATCTTAGGCCCGCTTCGGGTGGACCCTGAGCTTAGGCTCTTTTACTTTGAGGTGAGAGACGGTGACCACAAATACCTGCGTCCAGCATATAAGACACTGTCAGATCTTTCTTCTTCCTCCATCTCTCCTACCTTCTCGACTTTCCTCTTCTCGCACGCAGACGACCGCCAGCTACAAGTACCTCACTTCATGATGGATACCTCTAAGGTTACGACACCCCCGGCAACACCGTCGCGCGCCTCGATTGATCCCGCCACCAATGCCGAACGTTCAACTGTCTCGATGTATCCACCTACAATGGATAACAGCGATGACTTCATTGAGATTCGGCACGTTCCAGATCTCGTTGACGTCACCCCGCCGCAGTAAGATATACTCGATGCTTTATACCTTGCCATGCTAATGTATTCGGTGCAGGATGCTGATGCAAACGCCCATTACCATCGAATGCGGACCGGACCTCGCGACTAAGCTCATCTTTCATCAAGAGATCATCTGCTGCAACAGCAAGCAACTCAGCAATCGATTCGAAAAGGCGAAGCCTCTCATGGCTCATTACAAAAAGGCTGACGATTTCCGAAACGACTTGGCCAGATACGTGTTTCCTGAAGTCGACCCGAAGGAGTTCGAAGATAAAAAGATGGATAGACAGGTATGTCTTGTCAGTATGCCCCGGCTGCAAGCGGTCGAGCATCAGTGGCCTATCCACCTCATCCAAGGGAAGAACTGAACATCATGGAGCCTGCATCAACACTACGTCTTCGCATTCATCTTGGGCTGTTCTAGTGTAGGCTGTTGGCCTGTTCAGACTCTTCCTTGCATGAGGTGCGCTTTTCATGTTCTACTGCTAACATCTCGCAGGCCATACCACTGATAAAGGAAGCATCCGAGAACTACCCTCTAATCGGATATGCCGGTCTTGTCAAGAAAAACATCATGGACGCAGTAGCAGGCGAGATGATTGCCAAGAACAACATGAAGAAGCTGGCGCCAAAGCCTGGAGTCGAGTTGAGTCTAGCAGGCCGTCTGGATCTGCTCAAGCCCCAATCCGTACACGCTGTAGCCGCAAAGCTCTTTACCTTCGTCCATCGCATCAACAAAGCCGAGATCAGCAAGGCTAAGGACGACATCTTAAAAGCTACCGCTCAGCACCGCATCATACTACCGAGTGTCGACGAGTCAACAGTTCGAGCGCTCATGCAGTGGATCTACCACAAGACTCTTCCGTTCGAAGGGTCCGAACAGACTTACGCCGTCATGAATCTCGCCGAGAGGCTCGGTGTTGATGCGCTCGCCGACAAGTGCCGTGGGGCGCTGCACTACGCCACTTTCGGCTGTCTAAAGACCGCCGAGACAGACGGTATCTCTCTACAGACTTTGCTCGGATACGGCATGAACCCCGCCAACGACGATGTTGTGAAGGTCGTCTTCCAATACGCCATGAAGGACGTCAGTGCCCCCATGGAGCTCAAGAGTCTCATCATTGACTCCCTGGCCGGTTATCTTGATCTTGAGTTATGGCAGCACGTCAAGGACCAGATCAACCATAAGACGGCACTGCAAATCATTGAATCAATGATCAGCTTGCGACCACTTGTCAAAACCGAGATGGACAGCCCAGACAGTATCAAATCCGAGAGTCAAGAAGCCTCTAGCAGCAATGTCTCCGAGAGCATGGCTATCGACGAGGACAAGAAGCCCATTCACGTCAAAGAGCAGAACGAAAACCACATTTAAGACCGACATTGGTGCGCTGCCACGAAGTCGACGAAATCCGAAGCCGATATGGACTTCCAGGAAGTAGGGAAGGCGACGCAGTGAATGCGATGGGGAAAAGTACAGTCTAGAGGTATCTACGGATCGTAGATCCCTCATACATATTAGCGATTGCTTTCTGCGTTTCATTTCTTGCTTGCTGCGCGTATTCCAACGAGGAGATGGGGAGTATTACTAGCATATCATTCTGTTCACTTTTCTGTCCAATCAGTGGTTGCACATGTGATCAATCGGCTAGTATTAGTGAAGGGGTTCATTATGATCTACGTCATTTTATGTCGTTGCAGATGAAGGTGAGTGGACTCTGGGTACGCTTGTTTAGGGGCATGTGTCCTGGGTCTCCACGCTTATACCATGGACAACCTGTCCTGTATGTGGTATCACGTCGGTAGTGCGAAGGTGACACCGCGTATTGATTCGCATGCGGGGAGGTCTTCGATCCAGCAGCCGCCCGAGATGGTCGATGTCTCCATATCATCGATGCAGAGTCTTCAGTGGCGAAGTAGTGCTTTTGCGCAACGCTTTCTCGAAATGCTGGTGTGTGTATCCCTTGCGTGCGACGGTTTGAGCGAGTCATTTCCCGACGACCTGGTTTAGTGACGGGAGCGTTCAGCGGGGAAGGGGGGACTCGAAAAACATAGCGGCTGCCGCGGGTGTGGTGTATGGGTTGCACTATGATGTAGCTTCGAAGGAGAGCATGCCGTTGACTGGACACTTTCATAAAACGGTGGCATGCTGCTGCAAAGAATTCCACGGCTAGGACCTGTTCATCTGCAACACGTCATTCCTCCCCTGATCCCACGATATATGACGGTTTTTCCTGTTTGAGAGGTATACGATGCTAAGGCTAGCAACAGTGGCGCTATTGTCGATACTTTGTGGGAACACGGATGTGCCAATCATTTCTGCAAGCAAAGACATAGTGATGCGACCCGCAGACGCGGTTTGTACGACCTGAGCGCTACTAAGAGTTGCTACTGTTGTCTTAACCGTTGATGGTATAGCGATTTGTTATAGCGTACGTTGCTTCATCGCCCAGCGGAAGGCTCATCGTAGTCTACCAAGGGTATCGATATACTATCGATCGTAAATATGGCTGTTGGATCGACCAAATCCGCGGCCACCATCGAGATTGTTCGATGATAAAGTTCAGTCGGGATTGAGAGGTGCTTCTGCCAGTCCTTGTTGGCGTAGATCCTCCGCTTCATGTGAACTCTTCCCGTTGAGTCGATCAATCCTGATCGGCCCACTGGGGGTAGTGACAAGCTGCCGCGGTCTCTACCCGTGATCTATGCCACGTGGAATGCGGCATCATGCCTACAATGAGATGTCGTGTGCCGATGTCATGAACGGAACATGACAGGAAAGCCTCCGTGATTCTCGTCGCTTTGGGTTATTTAACGCGTCGCATACTTTTCCTTCCCCTTGGAAGCCTCCCAAAGTAGAGCTTTCCCCGATCTCCCCAACGACCCTTAGTGGCGTAATTGTAGTAGGTCCAGCCCGTCTCGGTCTTGCTAGTGAACAATCGCAAGAGGCAATGTGTTTGGCGCAACTGCTACTTCCCCAGGAAAGTCCTCTGTCGTGCAACATGAGCCGAATAGCCTACGTAGCTGCCGCCGGCTTGCTACATGACACAACGTCACACGTCCAACGGAAGCGGGATATCCAGCGCAAAACAACGTCGTTGTGTGTACAAAGACTGGCAGGAACAGAAGTTTGGAGAAAGTCTGGAGAGCATTTCAAAGGCTAGAGCTGGAGATGTTACCGCTTTCGTTGACTGTCTTTTCTCTAACGCTAGCCTGTGATATGAGGTCTTTTCCTTGAAACCCCTGTCCTACAAAGGAAAAATCTGGTCTTGAAAAGGCGGCTTGTTGTCCGCAATCGTAGGAATGCATCATCAATCATGTTCCAATTCTCAGAGCTTTTACAACTACCCCAAATCTTCCGCAAAGACGAATCGCGATCCATTCGGCGTCGACAGCTTCCAGAAGATGGTCTCGAACTGTCTGACATGTCCGGCACATCACCTTTCCTATCGACAGAAGTCTCTCCACGCTCTTCGTTGGACTCAACGCGCTCTGCATCTTCATCATCATCATCTTCCAGTACTTCGTCAGCAGCTTCACGATCATCCGCCTCACCGAAACGGCGATCATCACGTCTTCCGACCCTCTCTTCGCCATACTTATACGAAACGCCGGTTTCTTTCTCAGGGCCTCGGGGGTGCTCGCACGGAATGTATCGCTAAAAGCGTGTGAGCAGCGCTCATGCTTTCGAAAATGCCGGTTATCCTATTGTCGGCACACTTGAAGGTTGGCGATATCATCCTCAGCATATCCCACACGAGAACATGACACGACGTTCCCTTGGAGAAGGTGATATCTCCACTAGCCGTCCGGCCTTGTTGAGAAGATCGGGAACTGTTCTCGGGGATGGTTGTTGGAAACTCTGGCTCTACTGGATAATCAAATCTCCGGATGGAATGTAATCGCTTGGACATACAGTTAGGCTGGACTTGGATTGGGTGACTTGTGAATATGTGGCGGTTGGATGTACGTATGTACTCTGAAAAGTCTTTCGTTTCGTATATGATACCCATTTACATATTAAGTGTCCATCATTTCCCAGAACACTGTGAAATTACCGAATGTTAAATGCAACAAAACTTGGGGAATCGCGCTCAAGTCAGGTGGTAGATGATTTCAGTGGTGCCTGCATACGTCATACGCCAACGCTAACCAAGTCCAGTCTAATGCGGAAGTCTTCCGCTTCCGATCAATCCGCCTTGACATCCGATCTCAGGAACTCGACCTCGTCAAACAACGAAAGAATGAACAACCTGGAGTCACATACTCTGAGGTCGTTCAGACGGCCAGCTACTTTGCGCAACTTAGTTGCCGCTATTGTTGCAGCGATTTGCATCGCTGCCTCCAACGTCTCCAGGACAACCTAGGCAGCAATCCGGTCCATTTTCTCAAACAGCGGCATCGTGCTGTCAGTTGATAACACAAGTCCATCGGCAATGTAGACTTCGCCAACATTGGAACTGGAATATGTAGCTTGAACCACCTCACCCGGCGGTTAGGCGAGAGCCAGCGTGATCGCCGTCGTCTCACATGTCGCCATCCCCAGTGAGCTGTCGCGAACCCTCACCCGCAACAGATATCAACTCGTCCTTGTCTGGGTAAGCGGGTCCGCCCGCATCCCAGTGCTCTGTTCGGAAGTGGGTGAGGAATACCACACCACGACCTTCAATGCTCACCTTGCAGACAGGACAATGCCTGAGGCCTTGGTTCTGAACAGCTAGACTCCACACTCTTGGAATATTCCGGCGAATATGCTCTTTCAACGACTTTTCGACATGAGATTCTACAAGACCACGGAATTGAGAGTGTTCCCTTTCCCACACAGCGCCCAAGGCTAAGAGCAACGCACGGTTGGTGGCACTCGGCTCCAGCGCTCTAAGAACGGTCGTCATGTCCTTGTACAGTTGTGTGGTATGGTATTCCAATGATTCCTCTGGTGTTTGCCGACATATGAGCTGTATTGATACAATCTGAGCCATCAGGATATCAAGATGCTCTAGTCGCAGTGGCAAGTCTTCCACGCACCGAGAACGGACGGTAACAGCGGCACTGGTCTTGGTTGCGAACACCACCGTTGGACAACATGGTGGTATAGTGACAGTCTGACCGGTACGCTGAACGAAGGCAATGCCGTTTTCCAACTCATGGCATACAATTGTGTAGTTTGGCGCGACATCTCCGGCAAGATCTTTGAGATACTCGTGCAGGGTCGTCAGATTATGTGGCGTGGACGGATACACGATGTATACGCGCACACCGGTAAGGACATGTATGGTACTAGTACTCATCAGGGCTGACGCCTCAACGGGAAGAAGAGCACCACAGGACATGATCGAAGTGGTGTCGGTGGATGACCGGGTGAGCGTACTCGAAGCCTCGTTGTCGCCCAGGAAAAGCCTCAGACAACGGTCTATTACAGGCGATCGGAAGGTGAGCGTCGTTGCGTATGGCGCAAATTGTTGGTCCTCAAGATATTCCACAAGCGTTCGAGCTATACCCTCCCGACTTGTGTCACCTCCTAAGAAACGAAGAGAAAGTGGAGGGGGCCTGGGGGGATATAATTGCGCTTCGTCGACCCACGACTGGTGCTTCTCCAAGATCTTTCTCAGTGAGCGCGGGTGTGGCCAACCAGCGCCTGTTTCGTACAGTGTCAATTCCGGAATGTCAGTGACTTTGGAGGCACCATAAACAGTAGCAGAACTCTGGACAGCGTTGCCATTCTCAACACTGAGGAGACTGATACGGCCAGGGATTATGAGATCTGCGAACTCTGCTGCACGAGCAGCTGGACATGATTGAAGCTCGCGGATGACAGGATCGAGAGTCCATAGGTGGAGGGTGGTTGATATGGCCTTGGAATTGCCCGACATTATTGGTATTACGATTGTGGCGACTGCACGGGCTGGGGTTGGTGTAGGCGCAAAGATTAAGAGTTGTCGGAGTGGACCATAAGGGTAGAAGTGTCAACGTCTGTACGAAAAAAAAGCTTACACTAGCGTGAAGGCGGGTGCACCAGCCGTGAAAGAGTGAAAGAGCTCCAGACTTTTTGCTTCAGGGCGCTGGAGTCGCAAAGAGAAGCAGCACGTCCGTCGCCGCTGACATGTGCAAACCCGGCTTTCTAATCACCGATTTAAACGACTGTACGTAGTCACGGCTTGAACGACGACATTCAGACTTGCGTTACCCCCTCCCTAGTATTATGTCGGGCTTGCCAGCCACGGAACACAAGAGCGAGAAGACTCAAAGCAGCAATGTCGCACACGGTCTGGTGCCCAACGGACGCCACTGCCACTCTAGACATCCCCGAACGGAAGGCAAACCTTTTGCGAAAGCAGACCGGAAACCTAGGTCTAGATTCAGCAGTAGATACTACGAAGACACCGTGAAGACTATTTGCCTTCTCAATTACCCGGTCAATTAAGGCGCTTCGGGTAACACTCGTCTTCTTGCCGTCCCTCTACTTCGCTCTCCCATAGAGCTACATCGAGCCATAAGATAACGCTTTGGATCATTAACTGTATCTGAGACTTGGACTGGTGTTGCTCGTATGCTCCACGATGCGTAGGTCTTGATGGTGGGGCTGATCTGGCTGGTTTCCGCGACCAACGCGCTTGGTTCATATTCGATCCTATCACACGATACTCCACATACGACCACTTTTAGTCCATGGCTATCGCAGGCGGTGTCATGACTGTGGTGTCCATCTTGTTTGTGCGCGAGTCATACCCTTACGTCCTGCTTGAACGCAAGGCACGACGTTTGCGGGAGGAGACGGGCAATTTGCGTCTGCGGTCAGCGTTAGACACTGGGAAGACGCCAAGAAGTCTTTTCGTCTACTCCATCACCCGTCCCCTGAAGTTGCTCTTGTCTCCAATCGTCTTCTTGCTTTCCCTCTACGCCGCTATCGTATACAGCTATCTCTATCTCTGCTTCACGACGTTTGAGATCGTCTTCTACGGCCAGTGCAGTTTCTCAAGCGGCGAGGCTGGCCTGTCAACACTCGGCATAGGCATCGGCTCGGTGCTGGGATGTGTCATATGTGGCGTGGCTGCGAATGCCGTCTCCAAGAAGTTGACCGAGAAGCACGGTGGTAATCCAAAGCCAGAGTATCGACTGCCACCCATGATACTTGGTGGCTTGTGCACGCCGATTGGCTTGTTCTGGTACGGGTGGTCTGCGCAGGCTAGAGTGCATTGGATTGTGCCTATCGTTGGCACGGTCTTCACTGGTATGGGTTTGGTCTTCACCTATGCAAGACTTCCTTGTGGCATCTCAGCGACCTTTCATCAATCATGTGACTAACAACAAGTAGATGCCGAGAGCCATGTATCTCGTCAACGCATACACTGTTCATGCTGCGTCTGTAACAGCTGCAAGCACAACCTTCCGATGTCTTCTCGGGGCCCTCCTTCCGCTTGCGGGCCCTGCCATGTATGACACACTAGGCCTGGGCTGGGGTAACTCACTTCTTGGTTTCATCTCCATTGCCATCTTCCCAGTACTATCTCACCTGTATCTTTGTCGGTAGCGATTGCGAAACGCCAAGCTTTTCAGGGTGGAAATTTGACTGACTTTTGCAAGCTATTGCTTGAGTACACGGGTGACGGTATCTGTCTGATAGAAATTGAAACGCAGGTGGATATGCCAGCTCTATATATGTTGATACGCTGGGCTTTTGAACCTGGTGAATCAATCCCCGTCGCGATACGAATGTTCGTTGAAATGTCCTCAGAATTACCGGTGATGACGCTCGTCAGGCTCGAGCACAAACACCAGAAGCAGGAATCTCGCGGAGGCGATATTATTGGGAACAATAATAGTATCGACCCGTCGAAAATGACAGACTTCCCACGGCTCTGTACCACATAAATTGACCTTAGCTGTCACATCCCGGGCGGGTGCATTCTGGTGTTTCGGCTGTCTATCCGTAGCCGGTTCCACAATCGGCTATCCGCGCTAAAGCACCAAGCAACCGTGATTTCCTGTTCTGCGCGTCTTAGCTGCATCAAGGCTGCACGCCAACAGGCTTAACGCGTCTCAACCAATGGCACGCTCAGACGATCGCCCGCAGCACGGGCGCACGTCTCCACCAGCACCCACGGCGCCTGTCCTCTATCACTGTCATGATGGGCCTCGTTGCCGTTTGTGCCCTGCTACTGGCGCCGCTTAGGGAAGGCGGGATGCATTTGCGGCAAGCGGCCATGATGGAGATTGGAAGGAGCGATAGTAGCTTGGTTCGCTGGTTTGTTTGTCGAGACGCGAGAAGTTCTTCGTTCTTGTTTCTTCGCAGCTATTTCACTCTCGTTGTCGCTGGTCTTTGCCTTTACGCCCGTTTGCGCTTCCTTTCTGCGCCTGTATAGTCGTTCGTTCGTTCCTAGTCGACGCCACTGCCGTTCACTGTGCACTTGTGGCGAGCTAGTGCGTTTGCCTGATATTTGCTTGCAGCTATTGCGACACATTTTCTCTTGCAACCGCGCCACATCGAAAGGAAACCACTTAGTCGATACACTGCAAAATGGTCCAATTGGTATCGCTCAGCCTGTTGGCGGGCTTGAGCGCTGTCGCGTCGGCTATTCCTACCATTGAAGTCAAGGGCTCCAAGTTCTTCACCAGCGAGGGCAACCAGTTCTACGTCAAGGGTATGTCCGACGATAAGACTGGATCAGGACGCACACTGACACTCACGCTCAGGTATCGCGTACCAACTCGTTCCCGACGACCCACTCATCGATGCGACGCAATGTGGTCTCGACTCTGCGCTCATGAAGACCATCGGTGCCAACTCGATCCGTGTCTACCACGTCGACCCTGACTCCGACCACACCGAATGCATGAAGACATTTGCGGATGCTGGAATCTACATCTGGGTCGATCTCGATACCTTCGATACTCAGGTCGAGCAGAACACTCCTCGCTGGGAGACCGACCAGCGTGATGCTTTCGCCAAGGTCATGGATGAATTCCACCAGTACGACAACACTGCTGGCTTCTTCATTGGCAACGAGGCCATCACGACCGCAAACGGCTCCGTTACCTCACCCTACATCAAGGCCGCCGCCCGCGACATGAAGGCCTACCGCGACGAGAAGGGCTACCGCAGCATACCAATAGGATACTCTGCTGCCGACATCGCCAGTCTCCGTCCTATGCTGCAGAACTATCTCGCTTGCGGCGACAATGCGTCTGAGCGTCTCGACTTCTTCAGTCTCAACGCCTATTCTTGGTGCGGACAGAGCTCCTACCAACAGTCTGGCTACGATCAGCTTGAGAAGAACTCTGAGGATCTGCACATCCCTATCTTCATGTCGGAGACTGGTTGCAACACAGCAAGGCCACGCGATTTCAAGGACCAAGAGGCACTTTTCGGAGAGATGGCCGACGTCTGGTCTGGCAGCATCATCTACGAATGGATCGAGGAGATGAACGACTACGGTCTCATTAGCTACGGCCCAAAGGTTGACCCTGCTCAAGCGCCGGATGGTTTCCCTCGCTCAGGTATGTCGTGCATCCTACATTCCTTCTAGACACGTCAACTAACAGCACACAGGAAAACCCACCCCAGTAGAGCCTGATTTCCCCAACCTCTCTGCTGTCTGGGCTACATTGAACCCTACCGGTGTGAAGGCGGCTGATTACAATCCCACCAACTCGCCTGTCGTCTGTCCCGACTTCACAACCTCGGTCTGGGAAGTCAACCCCACCTCTCCCCTGCCAACACTGGGCCAGAAACACGACTTCAACGGTACCCCTACGTCTGGTAGCTTCAGCGCAACGGCGACTGGAGGCTCTGGCGCAGAAGAGTCCGGCTCTTCAGGAACCGGATCTGACAGTGCGGAGACATCTGCGCCCCCTTCCACCGGTGCCGCGGCGGATTCTCTGGGCAAAGAGCTCAAGGGAATGGGTGCGCTGCTCGCGGGTGCTATGGCTGTTTTCGCCTGGCTATGAGTGCTTTTCACGTCGCGTTCTTAGAGCATCACCACCGTGTCACGCGCCTCCGACCTTGATGGATTTTGATGAAGACTTCACGGAAGACTATGTTTAATGATTCGAGTATATATTTGGACTAAACGATCCTTGGTCCAGCTTTGCATGTAGGATTAGGATAATAGAATACTAAGAGAAGCTATCTCGATGTTACACTTACACAGATCCATGACCGTTCACCATCCATTCACAGATTACCATGAGAAACTGCAGTTATGACCTGTTTGACAAGAATGCTACCGCTAGTATCTGACCGCCCTCCATCTAGCCAGCAGAAGGGCACTTTCGAGGTGAGGTGACTGCGCTATTTCCTTGTCGATTCTGTCACTGCTCGAGCACATACGGCGCTCAGACTCTGTAATAAAGCAGACCAACATAGCAACGTCGCACAACATTCCAGTCATCAACGTAGTTCAAGGACATGACTGAGTCATAGAAGCTTTATATTCTTCATCAGTGTAGATGTATCGCTCTACTATCAACCTCTCGACATCCTCACCAGCGCAATAGCCTAAGCACGACACTACTATGGCAGACTGGAACCAAAGCTGGAGGAAATGTTGCACTCCAGCTAGCACAGGTGCGAGTCTCCATCACACGGTATAAATTCCGACTAACAAGTTTGAATAGGCTGGCTGGCATGCTGCTGTCCATGGGTGTTGTACGGCAGGATCCGGCACCAAGAAGACCATCAAGGTAACATGGACGGATACAATGGTTGGTGCAACGGAAACGTAAGTCGCGTTCCATTTCATGGTCGATCCCATGCTGACCAAAAACGCAAAGTGTTGGCTATGTTTCGGTCTGACCTGTTGTGCGGGTGGATGCTGCGGGTGTGCCCTGCTGCCTCTCATCGATCGCTGGAAAATTCGGAAGAAGTACGGACTGAAGACCGAAGGGTGGTGTGGGACGAAGAAGCTATGCGAGCCTCTCTTATGCGCTGGGTGCTGCTGCCCTTGCAATCTGGTACAACAAGACCGGGAGATCGAGCATCAACACCCAGTGAAGACGGCGGAAGTGGTATTGCAGCCGGCGCCGGTCGAAGCGATGGTTTACTCTACGTCAGAGTCACCTTTGACGCGAGAATCACATCGACCGTCAACTCCCCTGGAGGAAGCACAGGAGGTTTCCAGAAATGACGTGGAGGTCCGTCCGGGCATAGCGATCTGATCTTCCAGCTGTCACGACCAAGAACAAGGGTGTCCATGCATGCGATGGAACAGGGAAATGGGCCATCAAGTAGATAGACGGCAGAACCATAATGGCGTGTTCACTCCTCCTCACTCTCTTCACTGCTGTCCCCGCCCATCAAACCTCTTCTCATAAGCTCCTCAAGATCGTCCTCATCGTCGTCAGCTGCTGCCGCTTCACCAGCCATGCTGGACTTGCGGTCATGACCTGCCGTCTCCTGTCGCGCAGGCGGCCCAATGTCCATAGGTTCAATGTCTCTGTTGTAATCGTCCTCATCATCATCCTCACCTTCTGCATCATCGCCGCCCAGATCACCAAAGTCGATCTCGTCTTGAGCGTTGCGATTGCGGCGGGGGTTCGGCGAGCCTTCGCCGTCGCTGTTGGCGGCGCTGGCGAGCGATATCGGGCCGTTGGAGGGGGAGCGGAGGTAACCTGCATTGAGGTTTGAGCCGAGAGATGCCATTGCGCCCTTGTTGTGTCGTGGTGGGCGTGCGTCGGGCACTTCGATCTCGAGGCCACCGTCATCGTCTGACTCGCCCTCTGCGTCGTCGTCGTCGTCGTCGTCGGACTCGTGGTGTTGCTGATGTTGTTGGTGAGGAGGCGATGGATGTGCTGGCGAGGAAGCTGCTTCGCCGTCGGATTCGTCAGACGAGTGTATGACCTCGGAGGATTTGATTCTCGACGCTGGCGGTGCTGCGGGCTTGGCTTTGGGCTTTGGTGTTGTGTCGGTTGCGGTGCGCTGGAGGCGGACGGCTGGTGTGGCTTGCGTCTTCTTGGGCTTTACCATGGGGTTCGTGGCCGCTGTCTTGCGCTTCTTGGGCGCTGGTATAGCGGCAGCCTTCCGCGCTGGAGCAGCAGTCGCAGAGGCGCGGGCCCCGAACTGAGGTGTATTGACGGCGCTGCCTGTGCCTGTGCGGTAGTCTGGCGAAGACGCGTATTTGTATTCGGACTCGTCGCCCCGTTTCTCCTTCTCCTTGCTCAAGAAGTGTCGGAAGTCGTAGGGGTTGTCTGCATCAGGGTCCCCTCCCTCGTCGTCAGCCGCCGCCTCGCCGAAGAGATCTTCTTCGCCATCTTTGCTCTCTGCGTCACCCTTGAGTTTCTTGGGATATATCTTGGCGTGTTGTGACGAGACGTCCTTGCCGTTCTTGGTCGCGAGGTTGAAGGTGTAGCTGCTGGACAGCGGCTCGAGCGTGGCCTGCTGGCTGGCGGGATCGAATACGAGGACGTATGACTTCTTGGGTTGTGACTTCTGCCCTGTGAATGTGAAGATGTCCTTGTTGCCGGAGCTGTTCGTGTCGTCGATGCGGAGGTTGTATAGGCCGGTCGACGAGGGCGAAGTAAGCGTTGTCGAGCGCGAGTCGGATGTTTGTGGGGGCTTGTGGTTGTCTACCCTTTGGATTAGAAAGCGGACAAGGACAGGAACATTGCAGGAAAGACTCACATTTGACGCTGCTAAACTCCCCTGGCGCGTCGTCGCTGCCTGTTATGCGGTCGCTGATGTGCAGACTGAAGTGCGCCTTCTTGTGCGGTTCGATGCGACTCTCAAGCATAGGGGACGCCATTCTACGCGTCCACCGCTGAGACTTTTGCCTAAATGCGATGGGAAAAAAGAGAACAGAAGGATAATATTGCGGACGCTACGCTACCAACAAAGTGGGCCAGAATGGAATGACAGTTGTTTGCGGAGTTCAGCTGCGTTGTTCACGTCAACTGGAAGTCGCGACGCCGGCCGGTCTGGATTGGGACGCTCCGCTTGCCGTCGCCCGCAGCTAGCCCACCCCACACCTGCACCACTAATTTTAGCCTCTCTCGACATCTCCACCCACGCCGAGCAATGCCTGTATGTCAAGAGAGCTATGCCATAGGGAGAAGAGTTGAATCCTCATATATATCGTTTATCGCTACTATGGCTACAGCTATGCCCCCAGCGTGTTGGACGCATGACGACCCCGCTCAGTTGAGCATCTAACAGCCTACATATCATCGGTATACCTTGTCTTGCTACCCTCCATGAGACCACCGCTCTCAGCTTGAGCCATCAGAGTCTGCGACGCCTTCCTCTGCTTCCGCTTCTGGTGGAAAAGCCGAGCGGAGAACGCCATGCAAAGCGCAACCACTAACACGATGCCAACAATGTAGTGCATTCGCAATGGCGCTGCCTCATCACCCTTCCACGGCACACCTTCAGGGTCATCCTCTGTGAATAGCTGCCGTCCTCTGTCTGATGGCGGCTGCTTATTGATGACGGGGAAGGCCTGCGAGAGGCCTCCTTCCAGCATGCCAGGAAAACCCAAGGCGCAGACCATGGTATCCGCCTCAGGCGTGAACTCGAATTTGATTGGAACTTTAGCCATGCCTGATCCCATCACGTCGAAGCTTGTAGACCATATCCCACCATGCCCCGGTTTCTCGTCTAGCGTGACGGTCAGATCTGTCTTGTCATGCACACGAATATCTCGTTGGGCAATTCGAGCTATGCTATGGAACAGACTTACAGCAAGACTCCCAGTCAAACTCTTTCGAGTTTGTATCGTCGTTATTCTCCTGCTGGCAAGGCTTGCAGTACAGGTTTCGGTGACTGGCAGCGGGAACATTGAAGTCCCAGGGCCAGGTAGGCTCGATAACGTCGTTGATGTACACAGGGACGGTACCAAAGCCGGAAGTAGGTGGGACGTGAGCGGAAGCCTCAAGGTATTGCTCGATCTCGAAGCTAGAGCTCTGAGGGTGCTTGCTAGGCATCAGATCCTGATTGCCTGGCGCCGGAAATTCCCACAGGATTGGACTTGGGCAGTCGCAGTTGTCCTTTGTTGGAGCCATGTTGTAGTCTGACTTCTTTTTTGGATGCTATCGAGTATTGAGATAAAAAGGCGTCTTCAGTAACTTATGGGCAAAGGTGAGGAGAGAACCGCGTACACAATCTCGCATTGAAGCTACTCGGGGCTGACGAAACGCCGTCACGAAGCAGCTTCAGCATGGGGTCGCTCGCCTGTCTCGATGAACCTCGCTGTGAGTGGTGCATCTCGAGTCGGGCGTCGGGCTATGCTGGTTCTAACGCAAAGTAGCGGAGTGGAGTTCGTATACAGCCATTGCGTACACAGCATCGCGCTTCCAACAGGCACATGCGGAGCCTTAATAGCAAGCCGCGAATCAACAGCATAGAAATGCCGGTGCCTTGAGTTTCATACACGTATCTATCGGTGTCCTATCGGCCCGCAACTGCATCGATGCCGTCCTCGCGCGTCACTTCGGAAAGAATACAGACTATCGAATAGACGATGAAATGACAGTATACCAATATTGGAGAGGGTGAATGAATGCGCGTCATCATGGCTATCGAAGTTGTGTCGAGCGTGGAATGTCAATGACCTGACAGATCGCAATGCCAAGACGCTAACCATGAAAGGCTGGTACAGGTCGCACCTGCCAGTCTCGACTGGTATGCGCTTTAATCTTCAATGAACCAGGAATAATGCTGCTGGCCTGCTTATCGCCTCCTTCTAGTCAATACATATCTCTACATGCCGCACAAAAGATCTACCTAGCAAGCATACCGATCGCCTCGTGCCCAAAGGGCTGACCTTACTACAACTGCGCCTACTCCAGCCTGACCTGACCCCAAGTCTGAGCATCAAGCTTATCTTTATTCCAACATTGGAGTGTTGGTGAGGGTTGACCCCACGAGAATTTAAGCAGGACTTCCCTTGGAGGACGCTGCAACAGTTCAGCTGCACGATGTATTGAAGCTGCAAAGCTGCTGCCTGATAATTCGGGCAGTGTCCGTGGCCAGCAGATCGCCGGCACAACAATCCTCGGCTAATGTATCGCATGCAAGGTAGCAACGGCATTGTACATGATTGAGCGTTCAACTCAAAAGCCTCGTGTAGCGACGCTGCTGCAAGGATGCATACGCGAACATGGACTGCTGTTATCGACAAGCGAGCCAACGCCATTCTCGTCCGATAAATCCAAACAGCCATATTAAATGCATTGCCAACCAACGCATCGTCATGCGCCGCCAACCGAGCACTATATCGGAGTATTGAAATCATCCGAAGGCAGTACAGTGTCACAACATACATGCTTGTTCATCTGCCGTGTAACCTCGATCGGAAGAAAGAGGACCTCTGGATTGGTCTATACATACTGGCATTGGGATATGTCGTCCCGTACACGGCTTCGCGAACTGTTTAGTATGGAGGTCACGCGTGATTGATGCTCGTATGAGGACTTTGGGTTAGTCGTTGGGCTGTTGGAGGGAGTTTGACGATGGCCGGGGGCGGTATAAAACGGAGGAGTGAATTCAATGAGTTGCACTATCACTTTGCTGTGGAGGCATCTCTTGCTTGGTCTCATCGTTTATCGGATTCGCTCGCTCACCACGCTCGCTTTGAACACGCCGTACATCATGCGCCTCATCATCCCCAGCCTCCTGGCCCTGATAGCCTCAGTCAGGGCTGCCGGCATCGCTGTCGTATTGAACAACTCCCCAGACCCCATCTATGTTTGGTCTGTCGGTGGCACAGTCGGTCCCCGCCACGATATCAAAGCTGGTAGGATACACGCGAGCTTTGACTTCGTATCCGCTGACAGCCACAGGCGGTATCTACTGGGAGGAGATGCATCATGACGAAAGGTCCGGAGGCATTGCGATCAAGATGACGAAAGAGGCGGACGGTCTAAACTCCGGTGCTCCTCAGCAGGTGTGGGCATACAACCTGGATGGCGGAACGGTGTGGTACGATCTCAGCACTGTCTTCGGGGCGCCATTCGCGGGTAGCCGATTAGATGTTACTGGAGATAATGGGGGTAGCATTGTGTGGCCGAATGGGATTCATCCAGGAGGCAACCAACTCACCAAGGCTCCGAGCGAGGGAAACATATTCTTTTCCATCAATCCTGCTTGAGCAATGGAGGATGGCTTAGAGATATTGAAGAGTAGAGCACCTCAGATGGATCGGAGCAGACTGCAGTGTGTCGGTATCTAGACCGGGTGGATGCATCCATTATACCGATTTGTGAAAGATCTTGATGACGAGTGCGCCAGAATAATTTGAGATGATTTTTCTTCACTGCTCTTTCTGGTGATGATTGAACCCGTCCGACGGGCACTCTTCGGTGTCTCACGACTAGCAGCTGTACGTCGGAAGATCATTGCTCAAGTCGACGTGCAAACTGACAGCGCACGTGTGAATCGGCAGTGGTCGCAAAAATTGTGGGCGAACCGTCAAAATGGGAGACGTGGGGTCGGCCGTGCTTTCCAGGGCTGGTCGCGAAGAGGCAGTCGCAGATTGCCGCCTTCAGAGAGCTCCTTCCTCTGCCCAGCGATCGAATCGCCGCGTCTAGAAAGAGTCACCGACATTGGACTCCATCCAGGTGCGTCTGAAGGATCTCTGGATGGCGACCGACAGCTGTCTGTGCAACGCCACATTCTGTTGTGCTTCCGCTGCGCCCGGGCTCCCCAAACTACAGCCCGCCTCAGGCGTCCGGTCGCGAGTCATTGCGCCGTTTTCGCACACCATCAGACGCCATTCCACCAGTACAGTAATCATTCATGCCACCAAGCCGAGGTGTGGCCGTCTATACAATTATTCCATGGCCACGCCGCAATCTGCTTTCATCTATCAAGGGCGTCATCTCATCTTATGTCGAGTTGGCATCTTGTGTAGCCTCGGTTCTGACATCCCGACCGGGTGTATCCTATCTCCAATCGCTGCCAGTCGCCTGCATGGTGCTACTGTATGATAGCGACTGCGGGCGGTATCGCGCCATGAGCATCGGGTGATGCAAAATTGAGCCGCATCTAGGTGCTGATCCGCCGCTGTCAGCACCAGCAGCTTTTCTGTGATTGCGACAGCCTTCAAGGGGAGCCTGCCCAATCTTCGATCTCGCGAAATGACCAGAAACATCGCGAGATACGACTAAAGAGGCAACACCAAGCTAGACGGAAAACTAGAGCCTGGGAACAGACTGCATTCACACCTTTAGCCGCCCTTGGGGAGGGTTGGCGTGCACAATAGCTGCCACCGCCCACTGCTAAACGCGATGCGCCCCGCTCCAGGAACGGCCCTCCGCAAAACTTATTGGTATGCTAGTTTAGCATCCGTCTCCCTGCGTCTGTAATTCGCTTGCTGCACCATGTCTTATCAACCCTCCGCCTGGAAACACCCTGGTCACGTTGCACATGGCGGCCGCTTTCGGGGCCACGCAGACCTTTCCAGGCAAAAGGCCCTACCTCGCCCTATGCCAACGACGCTCAAGCATGCGCCTTCTATTGCCCTTCTTCTGGTGATTGGCCTCTAAGCGGCGACCCGACGCCATGTATTCGTCGCCATGCCGCTTGCCACAACCAGAGGCGTTCCGAGAGGCGGATCAAATTGTGTACCACAATCAACAGCCGATGTTTCTGGCCCCGCTGACGCCTGACAACAGCATTGTCTTACTCCATACTTACTGAAGCCTGACAGCCACTCTCTCCGTCATCCGATTTTCTTCTTCCTGGAGATGATCACCAGCTCACCACTCGGCGCACGACTCGTGTCTTGTACTAACACGCGGGGCTCGC